ACGAGTATGACGGATGAGCCAGCCATCATTGCACTCAACCATATTAGAGGGAGCACATCGACCCGGCCCACCACGCCGCCACAAGTTTGAACTTTATAGCGAGCATGACTGTTTCAAGTTACTCCACTACGTCACTTATATTATTTACAGCATAAACTGTACCAATCACAGTTTTCACCCATTACAATATTTAATTTACATTATTTAAATTACAATATGTCATTACTAAATTTAGAATAAGTTTCTTTAGTGTTTATTACATTATCTAGGTATGTCAATGGTATCTTCCTGATATCTAAAAAATGCGACAGTATGCGCAAAAGTCATCGCAACATTCTGGGGAAAAAACATATAGTGACTATTGAAACGAATGAAGACCGTAGCCTATGGACGGAAATAATTATTTATTTATTTTAATTATTGCACCACAATACAAAAGTTACAGAACAAAAAAAAACATATAAATAAAATTGGAGTGTCTGTGTGTAATATTGTAATAACTATTTTTTACTACATGCATATGAATATAATTACGGTACATACACCAAAATATTTATTTTTGTAATTTTCGTCTGTCTGTCTGTCGGTCTGTTTGTTCCGGCTACTCTCTGAAATGGCTGGACCGATTTTGACGGGACTTTTTTTGTCAGGTAGCTGATATAATAAGGAGTAACTTAGGCTAATTTTATTTTAGAAAAATAAAGTTTAATACCCATGCGAACGAAGTCGCGGGAACAGCTAGTATAAAATATACATTGACACAAAAAGCGGTTTTATTGCTAAACAATCTCTTACAGACTACCTTTATTTGGGTGGATAGAGAAATAAAGTAAAGAAAAAACTAGCTTTTGGCCGGCGGCTTCGCTCGCGTAGTAGTAAGTATTATTATTAATTAGGTGTAGTTTTTGCGGCTTTACTTTTGTTTGGCGTGTGTAAAAAATTAGGGCCTACAAAATCTAAGAAGATTTATACAAACTTTCATCCTCTATTTTATCCCCTCAGGGGTGGAATTTATCAAAATCCTTTCTTAGACAATGCCTACGTCATAGTAGCTTTATGCATGCAAAGTCTCAGCCCGATCGGTTTAAAATTGACAAAGTTTCATACAAACCAACATCCCCTATTTTATACCCTTGGGGGTAGAATTAATCAAAATCCTTTCTTAGCGGATGCCTACGTCATAATATCTATCTGCATGCCAAATTTCAGCCCGATCCGTCCAGTAGTTTGGGCTGTGCGTTGATAGATCACTATGTCAGTCACCTTTGAGTTATATATACATGTAGATTTTTGGCATGATAAAAAGAAATTTAAAAAATTGTGAAGTATATAGTACAATATAGGATGTATATGATTTGCTGGAGTGTGTCAGGAACGAGAGTCTACGACGTACGTTGTCAAACCATAAAATTAATATATAGAAATAGAAATAATCTTTATTAAAATAAACTTAATAAAACCACTTTTGAACAGTCAACTTTTTTTATTCTACCGCTTATTCGGAATGCAGATTCATCACAAGAAGAATGAGCAAGAAACTTGTGTGTTACTCTTTTAAATAAATATTGATTTACTTATATTTAATTAAAAACAAGGATTAGGCATGCGACATTAAATTGTATGATATCATCATCATCATCATCGCAGCCCGGAAGACGTCCACTGCTGGACATAGGCCTCCCCCAAAGATCTCCACGACGATCGGTCCTGCGCTGCTCGCATCCAATGCCTTCCAGCGATCTTGACCAGATCGTCGGTCCACCTTGCTGGAGGCCTTCCCACGCTGCGTCTTCCGGTCCGTGGTCGCCATTCGAGGACTTTACTTAACGGCCATCTTTCCTACGAGCTATGTGCCCTGCCCATTGCCACTTCAAAGTCGCAATTCTTCGGGCTATGTCGGTCACTCTGGTTCTTCTGCGGATCTCCTCATTTCTGATTCGATCACGCAGAGAAACTCCGAGAGAAATTGTATGATATAATAATTGTGTATAATGGATATTGAATCCATATACAGTATTTGAGCCGATCCTTATGATGACGTGACATCTGCTTTTAGTATTAACACTTGCATGCCTACCAGGGATGTTATGGATATGAAATTTCGGATACGGATAGGTTTCGGATATACCGGATACTGATACGGATATGCAATTATTTCGGATCATCCGTTAGTTTCGGATAATTTCGGTTACAGGTATTAATTTTTTAAAGGAATTTCAAAAGTAAAATACAAATAGCTAATAAAATGGTTACATAACGTGTCTCAATTAGGCTCCGCCCCTATCCGATATTATCCGAAACTTTTATTTCGGATTCGTTTACGGTTACGGATATTTTTTTATATCGGATATCCGATGTTTTGGTTACGATTACGTAGCTCCTTAACATCCCTGGCCTGCATAATACTTGACAATTATCATTTTCTTCCTACCAACTCACACAATATCTTTTTAAATTATAGCCTATGTGTTTCTTATGTATAAACTATATTATTGTGGTTTCATCAAAATCTGTTGAGGAGTTTTTGCGTGAGACAGTAACAACTATAGTTCCATCCATCCATACTTATTATTATTATTCCTTAACATTCGTGATGCCTACTGTAAAAAGGCATATTAAAGCGCTGCCAGCAGATATTACTGTGATTGTTTATTTTTATCTGTCTATAATGTAAATAAATTACTTATGTGGTTAAGTTGGCATGTTGATGTACAGAAGGAGTGATATTAATAAAAGATTGAATATATGACGAGGTATATATGATAGATAGATAGATAGATAATTGATTTATTGCCAACACAACACAAATAATACAATTTACAATAAGACACAAAACAAGAAATAAATAATAACACGGAAGTTGGCAATAGGTATATATTTTTATTTCAGACTACTCTAATTGTTGGCCGTAGCTGGCCTTTACTGCTAAACCGGACGTTAGAGGGCGAGTGCAGATGGCACTCCAAACCCGCAGGACTTTAGGAGCGGCTGAAGACCATCTCCCGCCTGACGGATACGACTTTAGTTTGAGGGTACCACTAGGGGCTCGAACCTCGGCCCAGGTGGTCGTAATTTCGATCCCCGTTTGAATTGGACGGGGGATCGATCGGACGGGAGGTAACAATAACAATTTATTAAATCAGTAATTTGCAAGCGAATCAATTTGACATTTTGACAATATACTTTTTATTAAATGTGTTTATGTTATATGGTTAGTTAATGCAAGGAGGTTGGTAGCCTACACTTACTTTAGTTTGTACCAAAGTCCCTAAATATCATAGAAAAACTGTTTAAAAAACTGTTAACTGTTGTTTGCAGTTAATAGAAATTATTCAAATAAACTCAATACAAAATTCAAAATTCAAAATTCAAATTCAAAAATCATTTATTCATGTAGGACATTTTAGCCGCTTATGAACGTCAAATTTTTACATTATAATTTTATTTTTTCCCTACCGTCCAGTTCGGTATATAGATTCAATTGAGAAGAACTGGCAAGAAACTCAATTGAATAACTTTTTGTTATATATTTATATAGGTGTCTATGTCTAACATTAAATGAAAATTCAGTGCATGAACAACTATTGCCATGCACACTCGTCATTCAAGTAATCGTTTAGGCTTTGCTCAGTAAATATGATTTAACAGATGTTTTGAATTTATTTAAGGGTAATTCCAACATATCCTTTGGTATCTTATTGTAAATTTTTATACCTATTCCCATAAAAGACCTAAAAATAATTCCACAGTCTTCCTCTATTCTTTGCGAACGAAGTCGCGGGCACAGCTGTAGCGGCTCAATATTAAGCTAGTTGTGGGAAATGGAAATGTTATAACCTAGCAATGGGCTCAAGAGTCTATAACTATAACCCCATTACTAGCAATGTACTATGTCAGTTGACCTCCACGCGGTTCCCTCTGGAAACCATCGTGATAAATTCCTGATGTGTCACGATGTGTTAACTGACCTGACCTCGTGCTCATCTTATCATCCTCCACTGGTGCCCCGCCAGCGTAAACCGTTAGCGCAGGCGGGTGCACCATTCCATTATGTATACATATAAATAAAATTTGTGTCTGTTTGTAAGATTGAAAAAACCGATTTTTACTACATGCATATGAATATAAATACGGTACATACACCAAAATGTAATTTTTTACAATTTTTGTCTGTCTGTCTGTTTGTTCCGGCTAATCTCTGAAATGGTTGGACCTATTTTGACTTTTTTTGGCAGGTAGCCGATGTAATAAGGAGTAACTTATGCTACTTTTATTTAAAGTTAAATTCAGGCTGATCTCTGAAATGGCTGGACCGATTTTGACGGGACTTTTTTTGGCAGGTAGCCGAGGTAATAAGGAGTAACTTAGGCTACTTTTATCTGAAATTAAATTCCACGCGGACGAAGTCATCCATAAAAAAAAATCTTTTAATTTATAATGTAAATATATATATATTTGTAGGGACATTTATATATATTTATATTTTTATTTGTGTATGTTTTATAACATTATTATAATATTATTTGCACCGCCAAGATAAGTTATCTCTACACAACTCATGGTTGCCTGGTAGAAAATGCCATTAGGTGTCAAGTCCGCCATATGTACTTTTTGCTTATGTATGATATGGGACACAGTCACCTAGATACATCAAAATAATAATTGCATTTAATAATAATAATAATAATAATAATAATCTCAGAACAATTCACACAGCGCCATCTAGACCCAAGTTAAGCTAGCTAAAGCTTGTGTTATGGGTCCTAGACAACTGATACAAATACATAGATAATTTTTTTTCGTAAATACATACATATTATACATAGAAAATACCCAGACCGATACAAACAATCATACTCATGAATACAAATGTTTGTGCCGTGCGAGGAATCGAACCCGCGACCATCGGACGTAAAGCGGTGTAATAATGTCTATTAAGACAATATATCTAACTCGTGAATTAAAGTTATTTAAATAAATAAATAAGATTAGTAACGTACCTGGTACGGGGAATATCCAGCGCATTTTGTTATCCAGATAACGGGGCAGTTCAATCTTCAGCTGGACTTGATCTCCCCTCCAATTGCCATTGTATATCAGTAAGTCTGGACGGCTATCTCAAACATTTGCACTTGATCATTCTTCTTATTGCTACTTTGTTATCAGTTATTACACTCGATTTTTAATATTTAACTATTGTATCATTCCGGCTTTGTTTGAGTTAAATAATATATTTAATTAGATATCTTGTACTTACAAATCTTTTAAAACATTTTTACAGTAAGATTAGTATGCATTAGTATGTTGCTATTGTTTTAGTGCTAATATTTTATATTATTACTAACGAGACACGTTTGCTTCACACAGGCGTATGACAGGAGTGAGTACATGTATATATGAATGAATGAATGAATGAAACTCTTTATTGTTCCTCTCACAGAAAATACAATTACATATACAATTATGTACAAAATGATAAAAAAAAATATATAATACAATAAACAAGACAATGAGGTAACAATGGGCGGCCTTATCGCTAAAAAGCGATCTCTTCCAGGCAACCTTAGGATGGAGAGAAGTGATTAGATTTGCGTCTGGGAGAGGTGTAATGACGGTAACAATATTGGAGGAAAAGTTATAAATATACATATAAATATATATTTATAACTTTTCTTTATTCTTATTTTTTCTTTATTCTTTTTCTTTATATATTTAAGCGGTAAACTAATGTTAATTATGTTTTTTATGTAATATCATGTATGCCAGGAAGAATATAGACAGTTTCAAAAGAGTTAGTGATTGCACCAATAAAAGCTTACGTAATAATAACAAACTGATTTTACCTAAATGTCGTTTGGCTAAAGTTAGTAATTCGTTTCATGGCAACTGCGTAAGGTTTTACAATAAAATACCAGTCTGTTATAAATCTGTCAGAAAAAGATTTAAATGTCAAATAAAACAGTTCCTTTGCAAAAAAGCTTACTATAAAATTGAAGAATTTATTAACGATAATAATGTATTTATAGAAAAACTTTAAATCCATAGCACTGACAATATTATCTGATTACACTAATAATGAGTGCGTAGCGATTTCTATGTTGATTATCGCATGCCCCTTACTTGTAATAATGTAATTATTTATATAAAAAAACATCTATTAAAAAGAGCAACACACAAGTTTCTTGCTCATTCTTCTTGTGGTGAATCTGCATTCCGAATGAGTGGTAGAATCGAAATATGACTATTCAAAAGTGCTTGTAATAAGTTTATTTAAATAAAGATTATTTCTATTTCTATTTTTAAAAAATGTTGGCTATACAAAAGTGCTTAAATTAAGTTTATTTGAATAAATGATTTTCTATTCTATTCTATTCTATGTACATGTACTAGGCGATCCGTTAGTCATATGTTTCCGGACTACTCTAACGCTGTTGTCCGCAGCTGGCCTTTACAACTTCACCGGACGATAGGGGGCGAGTGCAGATGGCACTCCAAACCCGCGGAAGGACTTATGGAGCGGCTGAAGGACAACTCCCGCCTGACAGATACGACTTTAGTCTGAGGGCACCGTTTGGGGTTGGCACCTCGGCTGAGGACGTCGCAATTTCGATCACGTGTGAATTAGATCGGGGTTCGATTATATATATGTTTTCTATGTGTATTAAGTTCTAGCTGACTCGCGGAACATCGGCTGCATCCAATTTACATAACATTTATCACTATATTTCGCACAATTTACATAATATCTTTTAAAATCATAGACTACGTGTTATTCTGAAGTATATGCTACAATATTGTAAAGTTTCATTACAATCCGTTCAGTAGTTTCTGCGTGAAAAAGTAACAAACATCCATCCATACTCACAGACTCTCGCGTTTACAATATTAAGATATATTTTAGAAGAGATATTAGTGACTTATAAACATGTTTGTGAAATAGAAATAATCTTTATTAAAATAAACATAATTAATATACTTTTGAATAAAATTATATTTTTTATTCCATCGCTCTTTTCAATCTGACAGTATGTTGTAGTTGTGGGAAGAAATTACTAAATTACATACATAGAAAACACCCAAACAATTATAAACAATCATACTCATAAATACAAATGTTTGCACCGTGCGAGGAAACGAACCCGCGACCATCGGAAGTAAAACAGTGTGTTGAACCGTTAAACCACAGGGGCCGTCAAAAGCTTTTGCAATTAGAATCATGAACAGCAAACTATAGTTTGTATTAACCTATAAATAGACTGACATGTGTGTGGAACTGTCAGTCATCATGACATGTTGTATATTGAGCATGACAGCTGAGATATCATCGTATCATTACATCATCATTGCCTTGCCTTTATCCCATTATTTGTGGTCGGCGCAGTATGTCATTAAAAAAAAATCAAAATTCAAAATATCTTTATTCATGTAGGTCTATTACAGACTCTTATGATATGTCAAATCTGCCGTCAGTTCGGAATGATTTCGAGATGAGAAGAACTGACAAGAAACTCAGCTCGTATTTTTTTTAATGTTGTACATATTTACAATAATACAGATTCATTTAAACTCAAATTTGGGAGAATACAGAAATAAAATGACCAGCAGAATGCATATTCTGGCGTAGATGGCATAGATGGCGCTGTATGAATTGCCCTGAGGTTATGATAATTATTACGATGATATATATTTATTATTAAAAATACATTTTACGTGCTAAGATATCCAAGAACTCACCGAAACGATTTATTAGGACCTATATCTGGAGTATGTAATGTTATGTTATCTGTGATCTGGAGTATAGCTTTGTATGCATATGAAACGTGGACAGTAACTCAAAAAGAAAACGACAAACTGGAAGCTTTTGAAATGTGGTGCTGGAGAAGAATGGAAAGAATTAGCTGGAAAGATAAAGTAAGAAATGAAGAAGCACAGGCTGAAAGAAAAAAGGCAGATATTGAATGCTATAGAAAGTAGAAGAGGAAATGTTGGAGCACTTGATACGGTGCGATGAATTTATGAAAGTAATTGAGGGGGAGATAGAAGGAAAGAGGGAGGGGAAGACCAAGGCACAGTTACATCAAGCAAATTAAAGACAGAATTGGAGTCGTGGCGTATCGAGGCTTGAAGAGTGTGATGGAAGATCGTAGAAAGTGGCAAGAGCTCCGACAAGAGCGTTGCTCTTAAGTTTATGAAAGAATGAATATTTATTGTTAAAAAAAAATCACCCATCTATAAAGCTATATTATCAGCGAGTGACACGGCCTGTATTTTGTACAGAATAGAATAGAAAATAATTTACACAAATAAACTTAAATTTAAGCTATTTTGAATAGTCATTACAATTTTTTTTAATCTACCGCTCATTCAGAAAGCTGTCTCATCACAAGAAGAACGAGCAAGAAACTTGCGTGTTGCTCTTTTAAATAATCGTTTTAACATTACATTATTAAGTTGAAATATGTGAATACAAACTACCAATTAACACTAATTCATTAGAGTCAGAATATAAAATACACAATTAATTAAATGATATTAAAACTTAGTGATTACAGCAGATCGTTGCTAACTGAGTAGTAATTTTTGTTTAAAAATATACACAAAACATTTTAATAATAGCACCCGTGTGAAGCCGAGTCGTTTTACTAGTATCAATTGTAGAATTTTGTGAGAAAATGTCAAAGATTTATAGGTACAAATGTATATTGTAAATTTTACCCGAATTTTCCAATATAATTGAGTTTAAATATATTTACCAAAGCTTTCCTACATATAACTTGTTTAATTTTAACAATGAAACATTAATAAATAAAAAATTCTTAACGTGTTCAATCATTTGATAATAATTGTAAGTTACAATATATTTTTATTAAAGAAATCATATTTTAAAATGTAGTTTGTATTTGTAAATAATATATTTAATAAATATAATGTAAGACACGAACTAAACAAAGAATGAAAGACAAAATGCGTTAAGGGTTTATATAAACGTATAGCGTAGAATTATTCTGACGCTGTACCTACAATGCGCGGACATTATCGATTTTACTCAAAGCCACTGCTTCGTTTACCTTATTAGAAATGTTTACAAAAACCACTCGTATACAACTATTACCTTTTAATAATCTACACATTTATTATTACTCTATTATTAAAATAAAATGGTAAATACATTTTGTGAATGCAACAAAATTCGTCTCAATTTCTAAACACACTTTTGTTTAAGTAAGTTTTAATTAATAATTAATTTGAATTAGTCTGTAATTTTTAAGAATGGAACGTTTAAAAAATAAATAATGATTTGATCGAAATCTTACCGGCCAGTATCATTATAACACCCGCGAACCGCGATACATACAATTTTAACACTATTATAAGCGCAAACAAACGTTATAAATTGTCGTAAAACATAATTAGATTGTGTTTAGTTTATTTTGTATGTTTTATAGTGGTTTATTAGTATTGCAATACAGTTTTGAGCCCATTTTACGTGGGACAAATCACTTGAGGCACCGCGCGCTCAAATGAGACTGACGATGTTGCCAGATAACTGAACGTGTATAACCTACTTTAGGGAAATATATATGAAAAATACTTACGAGTTTTCTTTTGAGAGTGACTGGTTTTAGTTAAATTTTATTATTATATTAAAAGTGAAATACAAGTGTATTTTATAATTGTATAAAAGATGTTGTTCGAATACTTGGGTCTGACATTATAAGTTATTGTAAAAATTGATTAGACAGTAATATTTTATTGAATGTTAATTGTAAATAAGGTGTATGACAATTGAAAATATCAATTTTATTATTCGTAAATACGCACATGTACCTAGACGCTCAATGGATATTTTTACCCATTTAAAATTAGTTAATCAAAAGATGGCAACACAGTGACACCGGCATTGGCTGCGCTGTGTCGCTATGCGGAGATGTTAAACATGCGAATGTAATTTTATTTTATTTTAGGCTGTAAATGACAACTTTCTTGCTGAAAAACTGTAAACACAAATGTTTCGTTTTCTGTTG